TTATTTTAAAATAAAAATAAATATATAGTAAAACTTTTATAATTATTATATAAATATATATAAATAATCTAGTTATATATAGATATAATATTTTAGATTAATATAGTTACAAAATAAAAAAATATTGCAAGAAAATTACTTAGATATTATTATGTATTCAAAAATACTTCATGATATACAACATTATCTGTATGACAATAATTTAAAGTTATATTTGGATCATTGGATATAAGAACTTTAATAGAATGATAGGAAGTAACTCTTGATAAAGCAACATATAATTAACCATGTGAAAAAACTGATTTTGGTAAATAGATACCAACTTGATTTAATGTTTGGCCTTGTGCTTTGTTAATAGTTATAAAAAAAGCAGGGCGTACTAGAAATTGGTGTCTTGTTAAAATAAAAGATAATTCGGTATCAGAAGGTGATAATGAAATTCAAGGTATAAATACACATTTACTAATATAAGATCCTGTAATAATTTTAGCAACAATTACTTTGCTATAAAGAGCTCAACAAATTAAGCGAGTTCCATTGCAAAGTCCTTCTGCTAGATTTAAATTATGTAAAAGCATTATAGGTATACTAGCTTTTAACTTTAATTCACCAGGAGGAAGACCAGAGATTTTTAAAAATCTTAAAAATTCAGGTGAGTATAGATGAATATTTCCATCATTTGCTGAATTTGTAGAGTCTGCACTGAGATATATAGAAATTGGGCCAGGAAACTGATCTATCATTAGATCAGAAATTATATCAAATATCGCTATTTTTTGGAGTTAGTATAGCTCTTTTAGTTAAGTAATTGATATTATTAGAGTTTTGAATAAAATTTAAATAAATATTATCAATAAAATCAGATAATATTCTACTAGCTACAACTATATCAGAAGGGAGTGTTATTTTATTTTCTGTATCTGCAACAATTGGGTATGTTCATCTCCTATTTGTAAAAAAACTTAGCAAATTCTTTTTGTTCTTGATTCTCATTGATATTATTAGTTTGCTGAAGTTTTATATTAATTGTTAATTTTATAACTTTCATATTACTCTATAATGAAGAGCAGGATAAGCTAGCTGAAACAATATCTGCACAGGAGCCATGAGGTATAACAGGTAGTACTTGATAAAAATCACCACAAAAAACAATAACTTTTCCACCAAATGGTTTATCTATCTACTTGTATAATATTACAAAATGTTTGATTAAGAGCTTCAAATACAAATTTATTGGTCATTGGGGCTTCATCTCAAATAATAAGTTTTGTAATACTGATTAAATAAGCTAATTTGCTATTCTGTAAAATATTACATATAGAAGATTTATTAGATTTAAATAGAATTTTGAAACGACTATGAGCTATATGCCCACCTTTTATTAAAAGTGCTGCAATTTCTAAAGAGGCTATTGCCAAAGCAATATGATAATATAATCTAACACTTGCTAGTAAAGTGTTATATAAAAAAGTTTTTTCTGTACCATATGGTCTATCCATAAAAAAACATTCATCTTCTTCATTGTTAATTTCTCTTATAATAGCATCAAATACTAAACGTTGATTATTATTTAACAAAGGTATATTGCATTATAATTCAGTTTTTAAGTCTGTTATATTGTAAGATCTCTCTTCACATATTAAATAGTTTAATTCTTTTTCATTATTACTAATATTTGAAGTAATAGAGAGAATTGGCATATTAGAAAAATCCTTTAAAGATTTTCTATTTAGTAAAAGTATATTTTTCAATTGAGTAAGAGCTTCATGTTCAATTGTAGCAGGAATATTACTTGCATCTTCAAGATTTTGTAATTGCACATAAGCTTGATATAAAATATCTTTACACAATGCAATTTTATGATTATTCCATAATAACTCAGGTTTTACAGATTAGCAAAATAAAAGTATAGTTGCAAAAAGCTGTCGTAATTGGTGTTCTGTCTGTACAGAAGTTGCTTCAAGCAAACAGGTATCCCATATTGTATCATCCTAAAGAAAACCAAGATAAGAGCAAGCTTCTTTAAAGCTACTGCAAATATAGTCATTTATAGTTTTCAGATCATTGAAGCTAGTTATACCTTTTACATGGCTAAGTAAAGTTTATAAGTAATATCTTTCACCTTCTGAAGGTTGAACCATATAAAGTTGACCAATCATAGTTGCTGATGATTTTCTAGGTGTCTATTTGCAGTATGAAGAATTCCAAGTATAATAAGAAGAAAAATCAACATAGGAATATATATATGCCATTGGGTTTTCCATATTCTCCTGAAACCAAGCTGTTAAGGTGTCATACAATTTTTAGTATAGATAGCAACATCTTGAAGATTTTCTTCATCTTGAAATGTAACATAGTGATGTCTAGGAAGATGAACAGCAAGTCTCTGTACTTTTGGGCTATGGTTATGCAATTTATAATGAAAAATTCTCCAAATACTTTTTGAAGCTGAAACATATCTTGCATCTAAATACATTTTGATTTCATTAATTTGGACAACTTCAGATAAAGGTTGTTGATTATTGGCTTGGTTGGAATGGGCAAATGTAGATATTTAACAGCTGTTATAGAACTACAAATTTTTACATTAATATGAGTATTGTATTTTGTACATAATTTGACATTATGTAGCACAACCCATGTATTGTCCAATGGAATTCTATTTTCAACAAAGCGTACATTGTCTTGTCTATGATAAATAGGATATCCACTATTACTTTCTAAAGTATGCTCTTGAAAAGTTTTAGGATAATGTTTTGTACAAACACCATCTTTCATACATGGTGCATCAGGTTTTAGTAAACAACATGGACCATGTATTATCATAGTTGTTACTGTTTTATAAGCAAGAGGATGTGTGTGAATATCAGAAAGTTCAGCAGAAACAATGGAGTCATAATCTTCTATAGTTCATAATTTGTTATCTGAAGCAAGAATTAATAAAATATGTGTATAGGGAAGACCATGTTTTTGAAATTCCACTACATATACATATGCAATAACTTTACCAAGGCAATGATGATCACATAAATCTTTTAATAGTATTTGTAATTTTACATGAAATACACGGGCTGTTAAGTCGGGTTTATCAGCAGCATTTTGATGAGGTAATAATTCTCTAGTAATTTCTAACTATTTAGGATTACATATAAATGTGACAAAAAGATCTGGTTTTCCAAAGTAAGTAATAATCACCAATGCATTTTGATATAATTGATATATTTGATGTGGTCTACCAGTAAAAGATAATGAAAGAATTATACGATGACCAATAGTATTACTGCAATCTCCAGCATGTACTGCATCCATATACCTTGATAAAATTCAGCATGAAGTTTAAGATAAATTAAACGATTTTGTTTTATTTTAGCATACTGATCAATAATATATTGTTGATATAAACAGCCAGCATGCTGTATCCAATCACCATTTCTAATTTGTAATCTATAAGCATAAAATTGCATAGTTGTTACTCGTTCTCTTTTTAAAGCATTTATAAGTAGAATATTTGTATGCCACCTATCATTACCTTTAGGGAATAATAATACATAGTAAAGTAGATCATATGAAGGATGAACCTCTGCTATTTTTTGCAAATTTCCATCATGCATTCTAAGAAGAATGTTCTGATTTGTTGGATTTACCTCATAACTATCACCTACCATTATTGCAGCTACATCAGGAGCTGATAGAGCATTATAATGACAAATATCTTAATTTTTAACACTATGAATTTTCATTGAAATTTCAGTAGTTGCATTATCATGTATAATATCTCTTACATGATAAAAATTTTGAATATATGGGTTGCAAATATCTAACATATTCTGTAAACTCTGTAAAATATTTTCATTTAATTCTTGCATTATATTATGCCAATTTGTAATTTCATTTGCAGTATTATAAATATATATTTGCAAATACTAGTATGTGATCTTCATTTGGTAATAATGATCCAATTAAATGATAAACTTGACCATGAATCTAAAAATTTGTCCCAAAAATTGATTATCTACTTTAGCACCAAAAGATATGCAAGCCAAAGCACTGTTATAATCTCTAGCATATTTGCAAAACTCAACTGTATCAGAATTAGTTGAAGTATAAAGATTTAGTAGATAGAGTAGATGTTCAAGTAAAGGTGATAATTGCACTTTGCTATTAGCACAACAAAGAGGAAATCTTGGAGCGGCATACCCACTATTTTTATCTTTTTCAATCATCCAAAACCTAGCTTTACAATGTTGACAGGTCTGATCCATTCTACCCATATCATGATGTTTGATTTTATCATAGCAAGAAGTCTGATTACTTCGAGTATTAATAAACTCAAGATTAGTGATTGTAGGAACTTCAGTATTAGGTAAAGGTGAAAGGTCATCAGAATCAGAACCAGAATCAGTATCTATAACAGGAGTATCACCAGTTTCAACTACAACTATAGGAACTTCAGTATTAAGTAAATTTTGAAGTTCTTCAGAAGTATAAGTAGTTTTTTTATTCTTATTTCTAAACCATTTTTAGCGCTCACGACTAAGTTGCTTTTGATGTTTTTTTGATAATGTAGAGCTATTAGAAGATGTTGCCATTATCTAAAAAACAAAAAATTATACAATAGATATAATAAATTATAAAAGTTAAAAATTTAATATAATAATATATATAATTAATAATTAAATTATTAATTACTTTATAGTAAATTTTTAAACAAAGTCAAAAAGTACAGTTTAAATAGGTATTGTTAGTGTAATTATTGTTAAATACAAAATATAATAATAATACTATAAGATTATAACTAAAGTATAAATATATAAAAATATTAAATTGTATATATTAATAAGCTTTGATTATAATACAACTTATTTAAGCAAAGGTTAGAAGCAAAGATAATATTATACAAATTTATTATTATTTGAATATAAAGTTTTAAAGAATAAGTAAAATTATAAATAACTAATTATACTTATTTTGATATCTAAGTAAGCTTTGATTATATTATAACTTTTATAGAGCAAGACTTGGAATCAGATAAGTTTTATACTTATTTATTTAGTGGTTAAATTCGGATATTTAAATAAATATCAAATATATAGATTATACACATATATATATTGATTAATATATACTTCTAAAATCTACTAAATTACAGTATATTAGAAGCATGCGCTATGTGTACTACTACATATGAGTGCCGCCAAAGAAAAACTCCTAATCGGGCTTTCAATTATATTTTGTACCAGACAAAATCTATTTAATTTTTTAGAGAATATGTCCAGTAAAAATATAATTAAAAGCCCAATTAGGGGTTTTCCCTTGGTGGTACTCATATGATCACGATACTAATTTAGTCTGATGCTCAATTAGAATTTGGAACCGGATTTGAATAAGAGAAAGCGCATTTATAGGAGGCATGTATATATTTGGGCCAGATCTTCAAATTTAAATTCAGATCGAATATTTCTATTCTTAGAAATTAATTAAGTTCATAATATAATACAAAAAAGCAATTATGTAAATAAGTATATAAAAAAAATAAAAAAAATAGAATTTGTATATTGCTTTTTTTTGAAACAAACACATGACTTATTTTTATTTAAAAGCAAATGCCAAATCATATTTTTATTATAGAACTTGCTATTTATTAAAATTATCATTATTGTATTAGAATTATCATTACAGTTAATCACACGTTCTCTTGAAACACAATTGTTAAGTTGAATAGAATTAAACTTTGTACTTACCTTGATAATTTATTAAACAATTGAATAATTACAGTTAATTAATGTCTTGTAACACAATCAGAGTAAATCGAATTATTCCTTGATAATTTATTTGAACATTTAAATGATTATGGTTAATCACATATTCTCTTTAAGTACAATTGTTAAAGCAAATCAAATTAAACTTCTTACTTATCTTGGTAATTTATTGAATGATTGAATGTTTACAATTAATCAATGTCTTGAAACACAATCATTAAAGTAAATCATACTACCTGGTAATTTATTTGAATGTTTATATGATTACAGTTAGTTACACATTCTCTTGAAACACAATTATTAAAGCAAATCAAATTAAACTTCTTACCTTTGTAATTTATTGAACAATTGAATAATTACAATTAATCAATGTCTTGAAACACAATCGTTAAAGTGAATCATACTACTCTGGTAATTTATTTGAACATTTAAATGATTACGGTTAGTCACATGTTCTCTTGAAACACAATTATTAAAGCGAATCAAATTAAACTTCTTATTTTTGTAATTTATTAAATGATTGAATAATTACAATTAATCAATGTCTTGAAACAAATTGAATTAAACTTCTTACTTTGGTAATTTATTGAACGATTGAATGATTACAATCAATCAATGTCTTGAAATGCAATTATTAAAGCAAATTGAATTAAACTTTGTACTTACTCTGGTAATTTATTTGAACGATTAAATGATTATGGTTAATTATATACTCTCTTGAAATAAAAGTATTAAAGTGAATCGAATTAAACTTTGTTCTCACCCTGGTAATTTATTTGAATGTTTAAATGATCACAGTTAGTTACATATTCTTTTGAAACAAAATTATTAAAGTGAATCAAATTAAACTTCTTACTTACCTTGGTAATTTATTGAACGATTGAATAATTACAATTAATTAATATCTTGAAACACAATCATTAAAGTGAATCGAATTAAACTTCAGACTACCCTGGTAATTTATTTGAGAGTTTAAATGATTACGGTTAATCACATGTTCTCTTGAAGCACAATTGTTAAAGTGAATCGAATTAAACTTCTTACTTACCTTGGTAATTTATTAAATGATTGAATGATTAGGATCAATCAATGTCTTGAAATAAAATCGTTAAAGCGAATCGAATTAAACTTCATACTTACCCTGGTAATTTATTTGAACGATTAAATGATTATGGTTAATTATATATTCTTTTGAAATAAATTCGTTAAAGTGAATTGAATTAAAGATTAAATGATTACAATTAATCAATGTCTTGAAACACAATCATTAAAGCAAATCGAATTAAACTTCATACCACCTCACCTTGGTAATTTATTTGAATGTTTAAATGATTATAGTTAATCACACGTTCTCTTGAAGCACAATAAACTTCTTACTTATCTTGGTAATTTATTGAACGATTGAATAATGATGATCAATCAATGTTTTGAAACACAATCATTAAGGCAAATTGAATTAAACTTCATATTTACCCTGGTAATTTATTTGAACGATTAAATGATTACAGTTAATCATATATTCTCTTGAAATAAAATCATTAAAGTAAATTGAATTAAACTTTTTACTTACTTTGGTAATTTATTTAATGACTGAATGATTACAATCAATCAATGTCTTGAAACACAATTGTTAAAGCAAATCAAATTAAACATCATACTTACCCTGATAATTTATTTGAATGATTAAATAATTACGGTTAATCATATATTTTTTCGAAATAAAATCGTTAAAGTGAATCGAATTAAACTTCGTTCTTACTGGTAATTTATTTGAATGTTTAAATGATTATGGTTAGTTACATGTTCTCTTGAAACACAATTATTAAAGCGAATTAAATTAAACTTCTTACTTACCTTGGTAATTTATTAAACGATTGAATGATTATGATTATCAATGTCTTGGAAACACAATCGTTAAAGCAAATTGAAATAAACTTCATACTCGCCCTAGTAATTTATTTGAATGATTAAATGATTATAGTTAATCACACATTCTTTTGAAATACAATTATTAAAGTGAATCGAATTAAATTTCGTACTCTGGTAATTTATTTGAACAATCAGTTAATAAAACAACAAAGTTAAAGTAGATCAAATTAAACTTCGTACTCACCCTGGTAATTTATTTAAACAATTGAATGATTACAGTTATTCATACATTCTCTTGAAACAAAATAATTAAGATGAAACAGATTAAATATCGTACTCACCCTGGTAATTTATTGAATGATTAAATAATTATATGTGGATAAGGACACATAGCTTGAAATGAATTGACATGACTTTTATCAAAAGTTAGTAGTAAAAGTTCTGGTACTGCTATTCTGGTGACCTATAGCAAGTGTTAAGTGTAAGTTAGTTTATAGTAGTTACATACTGTAAAAAATAATGCAAAACTCAATATTTCAGGAACATAGCAGTATATGGTTAAAGTTATTACATTGGGTAAACAAATACCATATTCTGTTAACCAAAGTATTTATGTCTTTACAAATTAGGGCATTTTGAAGCTTAAAATAGCTCAAAATCTGAATATTTTATAGGGGGTACTATACCTGGAAGACCTTGGCAAATAGAATACGGCATTCTATAGTGAGGTACTGTAAAAAAAAAATAAGGTTAGTTATAACAGTTGTTTAGATATGGGTTTTTTTGTTTATAAAAAATCAGTATATAATATTCTTTGTGACTATAAAAGCTAGGGCATATACTATTTTTCACGTCAAATTATAGCCAATTAGGTTTTACGATTTACAGTTACACAATTTAATAAAAATTATTTATACAGGTAATCTAAATATTATCATTACACACACATTTTTTTAGTATATATGGTGCTGGAAGCCTATACTCAACAGTTATACAAAGTGTTTCAATTTTTTAAATGGCTATAATTTTTCTTCTAAGAGGTTTTAAAAAAATCTGACCAGTAACTTTATAGAGATATATTAACTCTACATATGTGCCAAAAATCTTTTCAAAATCTCATCACTGTAAAGAGTTGATGCATTTTAAAAATTGAAATTTTATATGTAAATTTATAAATTTACATATAGAATTTTAATTTTTAAAATGCATCAACTCTTTACAGTGATGAGATTTTGAAAAGATTTTTGGCACATATGTAGAGTTAATATATCTCTATAAAGTTACTGGTCAGATTTTTTTAAAACCTCTTAGAAGAAAAGTTATAGCTATTTAAAAAATTGAAACACTTTGTATAACCGTTGAGTATAGGCTTCTAGCACCATAGTTATAGATATAATTTTTAATTTAATGCATAACTATAAATTCAATTATCATTATCTTTAAACCAACTATCAATCTCAATTCCTTTTTGAATTTATAAATTCTGATAGATTACAACAATTTTTTTACCTGTTCATTATTTAATAAATTTTTTATATTTTTTAAAGTCCTCTGTATAGTAGTTACACTTTTGGCAAAGTGCAATATCCATAACTTTTTTAAAGTTCAAGTGAATTTCTTTTAATAGAGGGTCTCCCGCAAAGCATCATTGTTTATAATTTTATATTTTAAAAAGAGATAATAATAAAATTATATTTTGACAAATTATTCTATTATTATATATTATGATTATGTTAAAAATTTTTAAATAAAACAAAAATGTTTTTAACTATTCTGTTTAAAAACATTTTTCATCCCTAATCACATATTATAATTACTAGAATAGTAAATTTGTAACAAATTATTTGCAGTAACTTATGATAGAAATTATGACAATTCTAATACAAACTAATAATTAATTCTATATAGGTTTATTTATAGTAACTCACTAGGAATTATGACAATTTTAATGCAAACTAACT